GGATCCCTTTGCCTTCAGGATATCATAGCTTTTTTTTAGTATACACACTTATTGGTGGAGATTTTTAAAACAACCCAAGATAGGGTGGCAGATATACGAATAGGAAGAGGCAGAGTAGAGAGATATAAACAGACCTTCCAGAACGGATTTAAGACAGGAACGAGCATCTCTGTAACGTGAAAGGCTAACTATTTACTGCGGAGACTCATTCTGTTTCTCTCTTGTTTCTCAATTGAATTTACCTTTACCAGCCTATGAATTCTACGAAGGTCTCCGGAATTAATAAAATCATGTTGTTGTTTTTTTTACTCTTGAAAATAGTTACAGAAGATCAACACTGTCTACAGTACTCTAAGCCCCCCCCCCCTTCCTCCCTAATTTTCCCTTGTCATTGAAAGAAGAAAAGAAACAGCAAATTAATTTTTAATGTGGTTTTAGAATTTTCTTTATTCTTTCAGAGTACAACCCGAGGATCGAAGAGCTATCAAGACCAGTGAGGGTCTGTGGCGAGTGGTGTGGCAAAAGGTTCTGTTGTTCTAACTATCTTTGTCGAAAAGAGACTCCTATATTCATAGCAGTCAAAAAGTCAATTAGGCTTATGAACAAAGATGATGCCAGTAACTCCACATGCCCCAAAACTTACGAGCGCTAGATTCCACCGCGCCGAGACACTCATGCGTTTAAATTAATTTTCTAGGACAGCCCAGAGGGATGATGGTAAGAAATGTAAAGCACTCTTGAATTTGAAACTTCAACTTTAGCATTTTTTAAGCTAAAAAAAACAACCCAGGCCGCCCACCGGCTGTCATCCTTTGAGTTGTACATACGATAAAAACAGTTCCTGAGAAACTTAATTTTACCCCACCAAAAGAAGAGAAATAAAATATAAGTGGGTTTGATTCCGGAGTGAGGATTTATGTAGAAATGACAGTAACGAGGCGGCGTGGATACAGAACAAACATGTTCATACTAGAGGCATAAGTACAAAATAGAATGCTTTTTACAATACTTTTGCTTCTCGTGGAAGGAGAAAAAAATATTTTCGTCAATATTACCTAAATAATAGTTTTGCTGACGTAAAGGAAAAGATCTAACATGTGCTGATGTGCCATGGTTTCACTGAATGTCCTCATGTGATTGTAATATTGGTATGTCAAAGAAAAATCTTCCTTGTGTAGTGGGACCAGTTTTCTTGTGTTTATGGAATGGGTTTGTTTTTGGGGTTTTTTTGGGTTGTTTTTTTTTTTTTTGGGGGGGGGTGGTTCTTGTGTGGCCTACTCCTAGAAAGTATTTAATATCGTCAACGTGTAGCGCCCAGAGCTTATACTTGTATAGGATGGGGCGCTTTGTAAATGCAATTTAATATTATTAATTATCATTAGTAGTAGTAGTAGTATTTAAGGGTCTTGAACATCTAGCTCTCCCTGGAAAAATTGAGAACAAGCGCGGCAGGGGTAGGACCAGAACAACATAGTTAGGGAACCTAAACAAATGGGTAACAGGGAAAGATCAGGGAAACGTAGCTTTTTTTTGAGAGCATCCTAGCAAAGAAATGAATGGGGAACCATGTTCGCCGATGTCTGTCGCAGATCTGGCACTGGATGAATGAATGAATGATTATTATGATGATGATGATGATGATGATGATGATGATGATGATGATGATAA